TTCTGCCACTGCATGACCTTGACTTCCAAATGAAGAGATTCCAACTCCAAGTGTTTGCTGAGTTCTGTCATAAGCTTGTCTCTCTCTTTTTCTTCATTTCGTGCTCCAATGTATTCGATCGCGGCGTTCACTTGTGTGTCTTGAAGTTTAACCGCATTTTGCAGAGAGTTGAGCAAATGCGTTATCTCTCCCATTTTGGTTTTGATGTACGTCTCGCATTCAGTCCTTTCTACCGGAAAAGTGAATGGTGTGTTTATTTCGTTCACTTCCGACTCGTATGACTTCACGAGTGCGCAGGCATTGTTGATTTTTGACTTAAAAATCTGAAGCGCTGCCATTTTTTGGTTTTCTGCACGGGGTAGGGTCGTGCACTGGTGTAGTGATTCCAAGCGTTCCAATTCGGACGTGTGTGTCCTCCTTTTGTTGGTCGCTTTGGCTTGAGGGCGGCAGCAGGGCTGGCCTCGATACGATAGCTGTCCTTACTGGTTGCAAGGAAGCTTTCTAGTGAGCTGGCAATGGAGTGCCGAGCGTCTACTAGCTGTCAGCAAGCGCGCCTGGTTGGCTTGTACGCTGTACTGGACGGTAAGGTGTTGGAACCTGTCCCGTGGATGTAACGATCCAAAGCTCAAGATCGGTGAACCGACCGTGAATGAGCTTGGAAAGTTGAGATTTCTTTGCTAACTGTGGATGGACCAGTCAGTCAGCTAGAAAATCTCCTTGCTAAGCTATGGATATGACCTGATAGCTTCGCAAGATGACTCTTGTTTGTGAAAGTGGTGAACCAACAATCACAGAGTCTTTTTGGCTGGTTGAGGCCAAAAAAGATCGAGGATTTCTGTTGCTAACTGTGGTGGACCAGTCAGTTAGCTAGAAAAACCTCTTTGCTAGGCTATGGATATGACCTGATAGCTTCGCAAGATGACTCTTGTTTGTGAAAGTGGTGAACCAACAATCACAAAGTCTTTTTGGCTGGTTGAGGCCAAAAAAGATCGAGGATTTCTGTTGCTAACTGTGGTGGACCAGTCAGTTAGCTATAAAAACCTCTTTGCTAGGCTATGGATATGACCTGATAGCTTCGCAAGATGACTCTTGTTTGTGAAAGTGGTGAACCAACAATCACAGAGTCTTTTTGGCTGGTTGAGGCCAAAAAAGTTCAAGGATTTCTGTTGCTAACTGTGGTGGACCAGTCAGTTAGCTAGAAAAACCTCTTTGCTAGGCTATGGATATGACCTGATAGCTTCGCAAGATGACTCTTGTTTGTGAAAGTGGTGAACCAACAATCACAGAGTCCTTTTTTTTTTGACTTTAGGAAAGCCAAAAGTTTCGAGGAGTTCTTGTACTAACTGTGGTGAACCAGTCAGTTAGTTAGAAAACCTCTGCTAAGCTATGGATATGACCTGATAGCTTAGCAAGACTCGTATTAGTGAAAGTGGTGGACCAACAATCACTAGAGTCGAATATTGGCTAATTAGTAGCCGAGAGTGCGAGGAGTCTGTCGCTAACTGTGGTGAACCAGTCAGTTAGCTAGAAACCTCTACTAAGTTGTGGATAGGACCTGACAACTTAGTAAGACTCTTGATCGTGAAAGTGGTGGACCAGCAATCACGAGAGTCGAATATTGGCTATAGTAGAGCCTGCCACGCGGGTCTTAGGCCTTGATTTCTCGTGTCCTTAGGAGGATTCGCCGAGAAATGCAAGGAAAATCACTGGCCGATGCACCAATTTGGTGGGTACCAAGTGATTTGGGGTAGACGAGGTTGTGGAATATAGATTTATTCGCACGGGCGTAGATTAGTCGTGAAGAAGAGAGTGTGAGGTGTCCCGGTGTGGACCGGGGAGCAACCTCTAATACATTCGGAGGCTCCTTATATAGGAAGGAAGGCGGAGCTGAACCGAGTAAAAGGTACAATGTACACGAGTTGGTGCTTGAAAGGAGGTGCCGCCGATTGGCTACACTCCTGGCGCACGGGTACCACTCACTCTTGAGTGATTAGATACTCAAGAGTGAGTAGCTCATAATTTAGCCTACGGGTATTCCGTAGGCTATCTAGAATATAGAGTTCATCAATGGTTGATGATACAGAAATCATCAACAGTTTTAGTACGATGCTGAGCAAATGTAACTGTTAACTTTTTGCGGGTCCACATGTTTCGCGGGAGATTTGAAAATCCAAAATAAACGCAAAACCAAAAAATTGAAAAATCAAAAAGAAATAGTTCATAAGGTTAAGCAGACTCCAAACTCCGCTATAATGTTATTCATATGGTAATAAGTAAAAAACACTAGGAGAGAGGCTTCTCGGGTCACTCGCAAAAACTCAGGTCCGAAAGGGTTAAGCAGTGAAGAGGCACTTTTGGAGTGTAATTGAAATTGCGTGTGCACAGCCAAAGGTTTGTACTACATAAATGCACAAACAACCAGCCAGGAATCAAGGAAATGAGTAAAGAGCGTAGGTCATTTATCTGTGGCCTCTCTTATATGAAAAAGCTAAACTAGCACTGATTTCATTTGATGAAGTCAAAAGATTGGTTGCTTTCGGTGCTCTCATATGCGATGAATTTTTATTCTCACATTAAAAAAAAGTGGATCATAACGTCTGAATCGCTTTCTTATGAAGATGTCTTCAGTAGGGATATATGAAAACTGCGATAGATAGAAGCATCAGTGGTCTCTTCATTTCAAATCATTTCTATATTAGCGATTATACTATCTAGCACATTACATTATAGTAATGTATTAAATAAATAAATAAATAAATCGCATCTCAGCCTAAAAAATCCGGTGTTTTTACTGGAATATATCGCTAAACATAAGCGGCAGCGTAATTTTCAGTCTGCGCAGCTCATGAAGACAAGCAAACAATTTTATGATTTTGCAAGACAAACGGCTCGGTTGTTCTGCATAAATTGTCAAAAATTTCGATTATTTACTCGATAACATAAGATAAAATAAAAAAAAACACCTGCTTTCTACTTCTTCATCTATAGCTGAGTAGCTAATCATTTGATAATGATCTAGTCATCAATGAAGGAATTTCGATTTTTCGCGTACATTCAAAGTTTTATCGAAATGCCTTTCAAGGACATTTGGTGGTTAAAATGCTTCAATCATTTCGTGACGGCGTAAGATTGATTGCTTGAGTGCGGCTTACAGTATGACATTTAAGAACTATTTAATAATATAGATAATTATTTGGCCAGTGATAGGCGTTGCCAGGGTTCGGCACGAGGTGGCTAGTTGAAAATTCAAAAAACGAAGTCCCCCTTGACTTTTGCAAATTTTTACGAAGTCCCCTTTGACCCTAAACCAGGGCTCGGCACGAGGGCGTCCCGAAATTGCAAAAAATGAAGTCCCTTTTGAGTTCAATGAATTTACGACATCCGCCAATATTCGAAGAAGAATACTGAAAAGGAACGGAACAAAGCAACAGCAGAAAAAAACGAAAAAGAATCATCGAACAAAGCAATTATATTCATATTCTCCGGAATGGCGGCATGATGTATCCATCGTGCAGCAATTCGCGTCTAGAGCAGCCTTTCCGCGGCCATTCAAAATTTTCAAGGGGCTATAACTAAGCGGGGAGAAGGGGGTTTGAGGCGGTTTAGGAACCAGTTTGTAGGGTTCGGGATGTAGATGAAAAGTATGTAAAGAAAGTGGAAAAATTATGTGAGGGAGGAAAAATTTATGACTTTTTCTTTCCTAAGCCACCTCAGGTGGCTATCCAGGTGGCTTGAAAGCCACTTAACTCCAAAAAAAGTTGAGCACGCTTTTAGTTCACATAATTTTTTCATAATTTTTCATACTTAGTTCTAACTCCCCATTGCCCACCTACACACCTATTTTGGTGTCATTTCATCTTCACTTCGCTGTAAACAAACCTTTTGTTTATTTGCTAGCGGCATGCCGGCAGCGTGCCGGCCGCAAATCGAAATACAAGTTATTCTCTTCCCCAAAAACGATATCCCCTTTGCTTTTTCCCCAAAAACGATATCCAGCTTGCTTGCTAAGCCACCTGTGCCGTGCCCTGGGCGGCACAGGTGGCTTAGCAAGCAGAAAAAGCACGGAGCAGAAAAAAAGAAGGTTGAAAAAGATGACAGGGAATATTATTTATATTCGAAAGAAATTATTTCGCTACCAAAAAAGGACTTTGCGGTTAAAGGCTAACTTTCCGGGGCATGTTTTGCTAGGGCATTGTCAAAAAGGATATCTCGGGTTCTTTGAACTGTTGTTGAGATTATGATTGATTGATAAGGCATAAAAAACTTATGGGCACTTCAAAACTTATTACTGAAAGCATTTATCCCGTTTGTATAAGAAAGAGAAATGAATCTGTGAGACAGACGAAGGCTAGTGTATGTATGTCCTAAGCGCGAAAGGGCAATCAAAGACGAACTCAAACTCGCGCCCTCCTTTAACCCCCCCCCCCTCCCACAGAAAATGAGTTGAGAGATTTATAAAGTTAGTCTACAAATCAAATGATGTTATTACGCAAGTGTCTCATTTCACTTGCAAATAGTTTGAACGCCTTTAAAAATCTTCAAAAGGTTTGAAACAGCTGAGTAAACAAAGTATCGGAGGAGTGGTTAACGCTAAGCTTCTTTTATCAAACTAGAAATTTTCTAATGGAAAAATGCAGCAACTACACTCGTCAATGTCTGATTGGAATGTATGTGCAAGCAAGCTAGTATTTTAGCTTTTTTTTGGAACAGGGCTCCGAGCTTTTTAGTTTTCGGGAGCGCAGTCGTTTTAGGTTTTGGTCCCAAACTTTACGTGGATCAAGTTTAGTGTGAAGGCGTGAGCAGCATTTTGTAAAGCTTCTGCTTTATCGAATGCATCTCGACTAATTGGGATTACAGTATACTTTTCAAAACTTCGTAAGAACTGAAAGTATGCCGTAACGCCTCCTAATAGTTTACCCATTTCGCGTTCTCATTTCAGGTCAAAGTAAAGAGCCATTGCTATAAAAACACGCAGTGATTACCAGCACACATCCAGCGTCATGTTTGAAGAGAAACTCGTCATCGGTGTGGCTTCGACCTGCTCCACCCTAGCGATCGTCGCCTGTTTGATCGTCGTACCTTCGCTGTACAACACGATCAACGAGATCCACGACGAAGTTCTCGATGGCGTCGCCGTGTTCCGTGTTGAGACCGACTCCGCATGGGCTCAGATGATGGACTTCCAAGTCACTGTCGCTCCTCCAACCAAGCCTCGTGAGAACCCCTTCAACTCAATCTTCCGTTCAAAGAAGCAGGCCCTTCCATCATACTGCCAGTGCACAACACCCACCGTCAACTGCCCACCAGGACCTCCAGGACCACCAGGACAGCCAGGACAGCCAGGTACGTTGCTTGGCAGATCTATTCCTTAATGTTAAGTTTCATGGTATCAATATTTTAGGACAGCCTGGAAACCCTGGACCACCAGGACCAGACAACACCGTCACATATGCTCCCATCAGATGCCCAGGATCAAACACTGGCTGCATCACCTGCCCACCAGGACCACCAGGACCACCTGGACCAGATGGACAACCCGGACAGCCCGGACCTGCTGGACAGCCAGGAAACCCCGGAGGCCCAGGAAACGATGGACAACCTGGACCAGTTGGACCACCCGGAGATGCTGGAGCACCAGGAAACCCAGGACAAGACGGACAGCCTGGAAACCCAGGACAAGACGGAACCAGTGGATCTGGAACTCCAGGAGGCCCTGGACCAGCTGGACCACAAGGATCACCTGGACAGAATGGAGGCCCAGGACAGCCCGGACAACCCGGAAACCAAGGACCACCCGGACCACCTGGACAGCCTGGAGCTCCCGGTAACCCTGGACCAGACGGACAGCCTGGACAGCCCGGAAACCCAGGACAGCCCGGACAGGATGCTGCTTACTGCCCTTGCCCACCTCGCTCTGCTGCTGCCCGCAAGAAGGTGGTGGTGGCGGCTGCAAAGATGGCCAAGCACTAAACAGTGGTCCATGTTTTCGTAGAAATCAGTGAATGTGTTCAGTCATAGTCATTCATTGATAATAAATCATTCAGCATTGATTGCGAGGTATTAGTTGCATCATCAAGCAGTTATTAATAAACTCGTAAACGCATGAGGTTAAGGTCATATCGAAACGATTCGCCCCTGACAAATGCGTTAACAAAACTCGAAAAGTTACGCAAAAAACTCAAAAACGTTAATCACCCGCAAATCACTTATCAAACTAGTATAACCCCACTTATCTGTACGAAATTCTTGTGATCTTGTATAGAAGCAAATTCTGCATAGCAAACTTTTGGAATCTTGCCAATCTTAGTTAGAGACTTTTATCATGCTGAAAAATACATAGGATGGACATCATAAATATCATAGAGGTTAGAATAATAGCTGGAAATTGTTAAGTGTTTTGTCAGACATCGGAGAGCGTAAAATGTGACCGCTGCTTCAAAATACGGAACTGGTTCTCAGCAGAAGGCAAATTGACCGGGTATGGCACATCATTTTAGCCACTGAGCTTACGCTAGTTCACTCTAATAGGGATACTGATTGCTCCAAAATATTCCCTCTTTATGCAGTTTACAACCAACCGCATCTGAATTTGCTGATCGTGCAGAAACTACGCATCGTTACGGAAGATAGCAAGGAGGTGCTAATATGAGACAGTATTAGGGCATTACCTATATTTCCAACTTCTCAAACGTTAACATTTTGGTATCCAATGAAATCAAGACGACCAGTCAAGGAATACTGAGGACAATTTATGTCGTAGTGGACAACACAATTCGATTCTATAGATGTGAAAATCGAAAACAAAGTGTTTTTAATAAGCCTGTCTGATTCCAACATAGCTACTTTGCTCAAGATGCTGAGAGAATGATATCTATTCGTGACTGCCTCCCAACTCAAATTTTTAAGCGTTTGTGAAAATCTATAAAGTTTCTATTGATATGAACAAAAATTTTGTGCTAATTTCGATGCACCCCTACAACTCGCATTAATCTCAACCAATTTCGGAAAAATTGTTAGGGTGACCTAAGCTACCTAACGGCACTCTCCATGCAAAAAAAATCAGCTCCCAAAGTTGATCCCTCAAGATTTCTTTCTAACCTTGCAGCTAGCGTTGGAGATTGTATTGAGGATGTTCTCGAGTTTATGCAATTTGTTCGATGAATACGGAGTATGAGTGGTCAAGTTGCATTTTTAGCATTACTTTCTTAAGGTACAATTAATCTTGAGAAGTTACCTCAATGAACATTTGTAAATACGGCTACTTGTTGATAAGTGATAAAACTATCAATGTCACATAAGGTGAAGTGATGGTGGGTACGGATGGGTATAAAAGAATATGGTTTTGCTTTGGCATGAAGTACCAGCTTGCAGATAGAGGCAAGATTTTGGCAGTCGAGACACGTTTTTACTAGACAACATAATGGAATTGTATTATATACATTATATTGCAACATCCCAATTCTAACCGATACAAAGTTCGGTTGTTACACGTCGATAACCCGATAGCATATCCATATTGTCAATTACTCTGTTCCAGAGTTGCTTTCATGAAAAGATGCAGAGTACTGGTGTAACTGCTGTGAGTTACAAAAACTTTCAACTGCCGATTAGTATTTTGCATTGGGCGCTTGTTAAGCCTGACTTCCACGCTTTTCTCCAAATCGAGGAATTTTTTTTTCAGTTATCACACATGACAGATGAGAATTCCCCTGCTTTACCGCATCTTCTTCAAATCGTCATGCTTATCAAGGATACAAAAACACGCACCATTACTCATTGCAGTCGTTAGCGAGACCATATCCAAGCCGGTCTTCTTGTCTCGGTTCACATTTATGTAGCCGCTTTCGCTATGGATCTCTACCAGTTCATCTTCCGGCACACTGATATCCCAAGCGAAAGCACTAAAATGCAGAATAATTTCGTGTAGCTCAAAATGATCATAGTGTTCTTGCGGGCGACATTTTGCGCGTAAAAAAATAGGCATTGGCACGAACTTTGGCATTGCTGTGGCAGATTTTTACACGATTCACGCTCAATTGTTGTCGGCACCGTAGGCGCGCACATTCGTCGTGAAACCTTCTTAGACTACATACCCCTTATACAATATACTTACGTGTAATTCAAAGAAGGTGTACTGTTTCTTGTGACATCGCTGATTGAAATGTCAATCTGTTCTCCATAGGTGAACTTCGGAATAGTCGGGAAGAGAGCTTTACCGCCAAATTCGGATCGCCACCTATGAAAGAGTTGTTCAGCATGGAGCTTATAAGCAGTGTCCAAGTAGATCTGGGTACCTGGGTTTCTTAAGTGTAAACTGATTGCGAGATTTTACCTAGACTGTTTACCCAAGCGCAACTCATATGGTTCATTCGTGGCCGAGATTTTTAACTCTAAACTCGAGCCCATACCGTATTTTACAGTACTCAAAAGCGCTGATTGGTTCGCTTGGAAGGAGTTCGGTCACAGTGGAGTTTGAGGTGGCATGTCACGGATGAAACTATGATTTTTAGAATTTCACCAACAATTTCCATACTGGTAACCAGGTACCCAAACTTGTGTGGACGCTGGTTTGGGAGATACTATGCTTCTTACCTCCCAACCATCCACGCCACTGATTTCAGCTCTTTTGGAAGTCGTCGCACGTCATAAGCTAGACAATAACAATAGATAATCTCTAATTTCATATCATCACCGGCTTTCTTACCGAAATCTATGCTGTCCCCACAAGCATGACACGTCCGTGGACAATGTTCCATTACCAGTCCAGTTTCTTCACAAGACGACCGGTTTGTTGCGACCTGTGTGTGAACATACGTAGTCTCGAAGAAGTCTCTTTCTCGTCAAACAGTGTGAGAAGGCAGACTAAGAGCCATGGAATTGCGATCTTGTTCCGATATCGCTTTTTTCATGGGCATTCCAAAGCTTCTCCGCTATGCGAATTAGCTATTGTTTTACCGAAATTGAAGCTAGGGTTTCATCAAAGTTTGTTGAAGAAGTTGATGCCACAAAAAAAGACGAACTACGCCACCTTCTCTCATCTAATCTGAAAAGGCAAGAAACAGTAGCAAACTGTACGCCACTGATTGCTGTAGAATGCTCATTTCAATTCTCACCCCCCCCCCCCCCTCCCACTTCTTCTCCCTCTAAGGTGTGCGAAACGATGAGCGAATCAAAGTGCGTGCTCACTTCATCTTGTTTTTTTTTTGTAATCAAAGTGAATGCAAAATTTTGGCTGCCCTCTAAACGATGGCCCCCAATTTTGCAAAGAACCAATTTTGCATCAGATTTTGAACTGAGTGGCATACAACTTTTTGAATAAAGGTCATTGTGATGTTTGACCGTTTCCTTTCTGCAGCCGCCAAATCTTGGTTGACCGCGATCATTCTGTTACTGCGCTTGAGTTAGTCGGGCATTAGTGAAGAAACGTTTTTATAGATAAACGAACATCGATTATTAGATTTTGGTAAAGCAATAAACGAAAAGATTTGGGGTAAATTCTTAATTTTCAGTAATATAGCGCTCTGCATGATCGCGAGAGTTGGTGAGTTTGCGGAAATTGCGCTCCCGTAGGATGCCACAAGGCCCTTAACCAATCAAACAAACCCGTACTTTTCAAAAATCGCCTCGAGTAATTGAAAATTAATATATGATTGCAGAAAAGAATGATGAAAGAAGACCGAGAACGGCGCGGTCAGTGCTGGAGATTGCGGTCAGTGCTCGAGCAATGACCGCAATCTCACCAACTCTCGCGATCACGCAGAGCCCTATATCCTCAATAACACAACATTCTCCTTGATTTTTTCAGTGCTCAAGTTGATTTGAAGTGCTCTGACCGTGCATCGCAAACAAATTTTCTTGCTTCATAAGAAAGGTACTCCAAAGTTACAATTATAGGTAAATTTATTTGACCAACTATCTAATAAGAAGTCATGTACTTGAACTTTCAAACATATAACTTCTCCGAATCTAATCTGCCATTTCTCCTGAAGGATTAGGCGAAAATCGCATAGAAATGATTGAAGTTGGAAAAACTGGAAACTGTATTCCTCGCCAAATCTTCTGGAGCAATGAATAATTCCTGGCTTATTGTATGCTTTTCTATGCACAACTGAATTGCATTTGATCGAATATCCAAACTCAGCTATGAATCCACATTTCAAAACTGGACTCAATACTCGGTTACAGTTTCAAGATATTGGCTCTATGTGAAGTAAGTTTACAAGAAATAGACAAAGATAGTGTGGGTGGTTTGGTGTTTCGCAAGAATCTACAATCAAGTAATGCTTTAACGGCAAGAAAGACGTATTAAGAAGAAGCAAGGGGAAATTCGTTACTTGAAGAGAAGCTGAAGAAACGCTTTCTTACCCATTCCGCGCAGTTCATGTCTGTATCACGGCATTTGTTTAGCTTTACTGATGTTACTGTGTTGCCCATCATGACGAGGAGAATGAGGGAGATGAACATCTGAAAGAGATTATAGTAATATACTGAAGTGTGAGCAGAAGACTCAAGCAAATGACACTATTATATGAGAGAAGAGAAGACCAAATTAGGACTGCGGCGAAAGATAGATGTCTAAGCTCAGACATAATTCAAAAAATTCGGCAACAAATTCTTGCGTCAAGCGTGAGAATGACAATCAGTTCGAGAAAACTTGCTGATATCGGATCGCCATCCTGAGAACCGTATTACATCATAATTCCATTTTCGCGGTCTTTGACAAATAGCATGTTAGCTAAGGAAGTTCGCAAAGCCATATTAAGGAATGAAATATTCAAAATGCTGTTTTTGACATTAACGAATGCAACTGGCGTAGCTTCAAATGAATGTGTTTTTCCTCGATATATTCATCCTATGATTTAGATGTATAGATGTTGTGTGCGCTGGACTGAAAAATGATAAAAGTCATAGTCTCAGACTTGTAGGATTTGTTTGACAAAAGAGTTTGTCCCTAAAGCGGCTGGCTATCTGCCAGATAGATAAGGAGCTTTCAGTGCTTGAACCTTCAGACATTATGATCTACTGACAAACTGTGTCGAGTCGAAGTGACCTTTCCAGATGAGACCCATACTGCTTTGAAGAGCATTAATCGGTGATTCCAAATCTGCTTTCCAAAACTGCCAAGCGCCTCTGGACGCCGAGTTATGCTCGTTTTTCAGGTCAAAAAATTGAACGCAAAACTGAAGCAAAATCGCCCAAATTTGCTCAAATGGTCCGGTGTCAAGTAGCAGACCTGTTTATGCAATGGATACATTTTATTTAATATGCTAATACTTAACATTGTCTGAGCGCTGGAAAGATTGTAACAATCAATTTTACCTAAATTATGCATTCATTTTTCGTTCCGAAGAACGGTCATAACTCGGCGTCCAGAGGAGTTTGGCAGATTTGGAAGGCAGATTTGGAATCACCGCTTAATACTCTTCAAAGCAGTATGGATCTCATCTGGAAAGGCCACTTCGACTCGACACGGTTCCCTTGTGAGTTGCCATTGATGCAACAGTGCTTGTGTAAATTTGACCGTACCGTCTGGTTAGCTATCTTAGCAGATTTCGCTAAAGGAAAACGGCACAAATAACAATCTTCTAAATTCAAGTTCTTTCTCTCGTCTTTGTTCCATTTTCCTGTCGAGCAGTACTAGCTTTAAGGAATGCTTATAGTGTACCAATGTCGGGTCTATGAGAAGCTAATGTCCCAGTGCTATTTAACAATATCGCTTTCGAAGTGGAAAAAAACGTCCAAGAAGCTAATAGACTCATTGTCAGTTATTTTTGCGACTGCGACTCCGTATCTGAAAGTTAACTTTGAAATTATCGTGACTACGGAGTTTGATACGATCAGATCTCTACAATATTTCTTCCAAAACATGTCGGCGTGTCAGTAGTTGTTTTTTGCAAGATTTACCCATTTGAGATCTTACGTAATAATCCGGCAGCTAAAATTACATGCGCATGAACTCAAAATTGCAAATGTAAAAATCAATCCGAAGAGCTACAGCAAGCCACCGCTGGAAGCTGCTTCAGTAGAATTTCACAATGTTGAGCCTTCGTTCGATTCGCTGAAAAGCTTAAATGACGAGCAAAAATGGTTGCAAACAGTTTTACGCATTTCTCAGGATACTAGCTCCTTTTACGAGGCTAGAATAGTGTTTTCGTGTTCTTGCGTTGCCAACAACATTTGCGCGTTGGAAATGGCTTTAGCGCGCAAAACTCAAGAATATGCTTCCACTGCCTGATTTTACACACGGAAGTGTTGAGCGTTTTATAATGGCAGTATTTTCGCGCAACTCTTCTCTAAACCTCAGAGACATAACATATACATATTATCAGCAAGCCGCCGTCTATGCAAGCGATTTTGGCTAATTAAGCGCGAAGTTACAATATTGATTTTTTTAAAAACTCCATCAAGACAATTTCCCTAACTATATCACATGTAGAATCGGTTTTTCTGTCAGTGAGGATCATTTTTCAAAAGGAGGATGCTAACAAAGCTTGCGAGAATTAGTCAAAGAATTTCGACCATTTAGAAGAGTAGCTAGAATGCTACAGAAGTTGTATATGAGATAGAATGGATCACTTTGAAGTGCCTCGGCATGAAAATGACGTCTAAGCGGACCGAAAAATTGGATACGATAAGACTTGATGCGAAACTACTTTAGCTTATCACATTGCAAATACATTAGGCGTGGCCTTGCATCCGTAGATGAAGCCTGTACCGATACCCATCATTCAGTGTCGAGAACTCGCCGATATCCCTGGATATTCCTAGAAACTTGTCCGCTTGTCAAAGCTGTCCACATTCACACTTGCGCAATCTTTAGTGGATAAGCGTCGACGAAATTTTACGTCATTAACACTCACAGGCAGACATTTGTAGCCTGGCAGAAGCAAAATGTGAGTCTGCACAATAAGCGCAACAGTCCACGACTTCTACTAATAAATCGTCATGAAAACTTCACTAACGAAAAAAAAATGGTGAAACGCGTATTGTTACCTTTAATTCATCCATCCAAACTGCAACATAAAAGAAAGCTTTGTGAGATCCCTGGAAATCACCAGCATCTGACCTTGAATGTCGTGAAATACCGCGCGTGTGGTGCAATACGCATATTGAATAACAGATGACTCGACTTCAGTTGAAACTACTCTCTACAGCAGACACGAGGTCATTACTGCTTGGATTCATACGAAGTTTCACGAATTTCCAAGACATCGGCGCAAGAGATAGATCCATTTTGATGGAATGTAAAAATAGTAATTCTTCCACTAATGAAGCTTCACAAAGTAGTGGGCGGGGTTGTCCCAATAGGTGTACGAACATCTTGCATTTAGCTTGTTTTCAATGTTAAAAAGCAAATTTGAGTGATCTTGAATTTCTGAGCTTGAGTATAATAGTGAACCTAAGAGTATATAAAAGGTAAATGTTTATCTGCTTTAAAGAGAAAAAGTTGGAACAACTATACGATGGGCTTTTCTCTCGTATGATTCTCTTCGCACCATCTGGAATCACCACAGATTGACGCTACAAAGATATTGGAAATTGGGCGAAGTTGACCCAGTAGGTGGTACCGTCCAACGCTAGAACAGCTTCTTTTTTACTTCAGCACTGCTTTGCCCCAGAGCGATCTTTCCGTCGGGAGCGTGCAGTAGTCATAGCGTCAATTTGATGCGGAACAGGTTTCTCTCAGACTCCAGAATATAAGAGCCAGAACAGTGCAAGTTTATCTAGCCTTTACGAACATAACAGTATAAGGCCGTGCGCAATTTATCATCAACTTTTATAAAATTATACCTTTTAA